CCCCAAAACCCCAAAACCCCAAAACCCCAAAACCCCAGGAAGAGCAAATGTAATAGATAATTAAAAATGAAGTTTGAAGGGAAAATACTCTGAATACTCGCTCTTACACTTGCCTTGGTTACTGCAACCTCTGCCAATACTCAGAAGATTGATGAGGAGCTGAAGAACAAAAATTCAAAATTTGTCCTTCTTTTCTTCAGAGAAGACTGTTACAATGAATTTTGGAAGCTCAATATTTTCCATGAAGACTGCATCTCTATAACTATTAGCAAAGGACTTGGATATGGGATTATCTTTGGAGCAGCTCTAGTGAAAGCACCCCAAGTATTAAATATCGTTTTGGCTAAATCGGGCAAAGGAATTCTGGCATCTATGTTTTATATGGAATGTTTCATGCACATCATCAGTGGGTGATATAATATCCATCTAGCCTCTCCATTCAGTGTTTACGGAGAAAATTTCTGCCTGTTAGTTCAGAACATTCTACTCATTGCTCTACTTTGGGTATATGAGAGACGCGCTACATCTGACACATCTAAGATAATTATCTCCTTTGTAATAGTAAGCAGCTTGTTAATACTATGGCTCGATATTTTTGTGCCAGAATACATTTGGAAATTACTTATGAACGTTCAAATATTCATGGTTGCATATTCTAGGCTCCCCCAGATCCTGGAGAATCATAGGACGAAGTTCACTGGTGAGCTGTCGAGTGTGATGTTCCTCCTCAATACTCTTGGGAACCTTGCTAGAACATTTACATTTATTAAAGAAACACAGGATCTCTTAAACATATTCACAAGCGGGTTATCGGCTATCCTAAACTTCTCAATATTCATCCAGATTGTACTTTATTGGAAGAATGGCACTCCCAACAAAGAGTCAAATGAACTAAGAGCTTTCAAGCATGAGATCCTTCCCAAAGACGTTGAAACAGACGCATAAGAGTTAAACCTTCTCAAAACTTTTTAATACCTATTATCCCAACCCCATCTCTTCCACCCATATATCCGTGTTCTTCATTAACCCTCATCTCCACTATCTCTACTAGACCTATTCCTCAGCTAAACTCCTCTGAACAATCTCAGTTAATTATTCTGAGAAAGCTCTATCCTAGGTGCCGCCTTGGTCTCAGTCAGGAAAGAATGGCTAAAATTAGGCCTGATTAAGTTATTAGGGGAGGAAATAGTAACTATAGATATATGACGTAATTGAGGGGCATTTTGAACGCTAAATTATGGAATTGTTAGTAGTATATGTCAATCCTTATCCAACCTAGGAACAGAAATAAGGGGTTTTGGGGTTTTGGGGTTTTGGGGTTTTGGGG